TTTCCTTTTGTTTTTTCATAAAAGTTCAATTGATATTCTCCATGTACCAAATTATTTGATGGATTGAATTACTATTTGTTACTTATGGACCTCAATTCATTGTATACAATTGCTATATTTGTATGGTTGATAACAAGTATGGAAGTAATTTAAATTTAAGCTAAATTTGAATAAATTTAAAAGTATTATGATTTTTTTAAAGAAAAATAATATTTATTTTTATTACTAAATGTATAAATTGTATTGGCATAGTAGAAAAAATACCATATAAAATTTATTGTCCAATTTAATTATGGATTGTAATTTTTTTAAAAATTTGATTTAATTCATAATCAAATTATTTTCATTTGGCAAACAAAAAATAACTAATTAATAATAGATAATAAATTTAATAGAACTTTAAAATAAAATAAGAATATTTACAATTGAAAAATGTTGATATAGTTTAAATTCTGATAGTTTTAATCATATTCCGAAAACATTAAAAAAATCATGAAAACCTCTATATATATATATATGTTTATTAACTTATAAGTGTTGTACTCTTTTTTTATTATAGTGAAATATTTTTTTTCTGATTTTATCCGTAAATGTAGATATACTGTCAAACTATGTAAAATATTATATTATTTTATTTTTAATTTTTATTTTATATTGATTGTGCATATTTTTAAATATTATTTTTCTTAGTAAAAATATTAGACTTCAATAAAATATTTTAGTTATAATTCGTCTCCATTTTGTTTCGACGTGGGGAGGTAGGTGTAAAAAAGGTTTGACTTTAAATTAAACATATCAAATTAGGTATAAAAATAATTTCATTTAATTTTTGTTAATTAGATAATTTTTTTGTTATACATATAATTTTATATATCCTTATCTTATCTTTTACGTTATATATTTTAGAAGATGCTACATAAAAAGTATACGAATATTTTAGAAAAAAAAAAACCAAAAAAAAATTTATTAATTCCCAAAAAAATATATTTTATTAATAATTAAAATAGTAATTAAGACGAAGATGGTGAATATTATAAATATGAGATCTTATATCTTATCTTAGTTTTTATATCATATAAAATATCATAAACAAAATAATGGTAATGTATTTTTATAATAATAATATTATTATTTTATTTAAGGAATCCCAATTTTTTCTGGACACTCATATTGCTCGCTACACATTTCCAGAATAAAAATAAAAAATAAAAAAAAATGAAAAATGAAAAATGAAAAATGAAAAAAGGAAAGACCACCGATAAACTAGAGACGACGATTTTGGTTGGCTGAGGTTAAGCTTAAGCTGAGCCAGGTTACCGCCATTCATCTCTCTCTCTCCATAAATTGACACGTCAGACGTACCATATACTCGGGTATAAATAGGACCTCCTTCACTGCGCTCTCGCCTTCTTCAATCAATTTCAAAGCTTCTACAAAGAGAACAGAGAGAGCGAGAGCGAGCGAGCGAGCGAGAGAGAGAGAGAGAGAGAGAGAAGGTGCAGGAATGGCGAAGGTGTGGCGAGACATAGACGATCTGCCGAAGAATGATGCGAACTACACAGCGTTGACGCCACTTTGGTTCCTGGAGAGAGCGGCTAAGGTGCATCCGACCAGAAGGTCCGTAGTCCATGGATCTCTGCAGTACACATGGCACCAGACGTACGAGCGCTGCCGACGGTTGGCCTCTGCGCTCACCAGTCACTCCATCGGCCCCGGTTGCACGGTCATCACTTCCTCCTTTCCCTCGCTCTCTCTTTCTTTTTGAAATGTTTTTGTTAAATCGGTGAATCGAGTGAATAGCTGAGTTTAGTTATGTTTATTTTCGCGCTCAACCTGATAACTGAAATATTATCTGTTGTTTTTTTCTTTTTCAAATTTTTTTAGAGCATCCTCTGCTTTTTACTTTCGAATCTTATACTGTTGATTTATTTATTTTTTAATTGTTATTAGTGATCAAAATTATGAAATATTATTAGCTGAAGGTAATTCTTCCCGAGATTTCTTGAGAATAAAATTATAGTCAGGGGAATAATGATAGTCAAAATTACAACTATTGACTACATCCTATAATATAATTAACTATAAGCACTAGCATGTGTTAATACTTGTTTTTTCAGGAGCTTTTGTTGGAATGGATAGATTACACAATGAATTTTTTTCTAATCTTCCTCGGTTTAAAAAAGATTCATTGTTTAGTAGACAAGCATTTTATTAGAACATAAACAATAAACTGTATCATTCCTTATCCGTTTAATTTTTAATAGAATTATTTCAATTCATTATTTAACAGATTTGTTAGATTTCGTTGAATTTGATTTAACTCTATTATTTGACGTTTTATGTTAGATTCAAAGGCTTAGTATTTGAGTTTGGGCTCTGAGTTCCGTTAAAATTTAATTTCGCCACTCTGATATTAGCTTAATGTCCGCATCAGTTTGATGGATGCGCAAGCCAGTATATTAGAACATAAATACTAGATTGAGGTACTTTATATCAGTATAGACTTTTAGAAAAATAAGTTTGGTGCAAATTTTAGAAGTTACATAATTTACATTTTTGAACTGCTGAGATTGTGAACCACTTTTTTTTCTATGGTTTGTTCTGTTTAATTTATTTCTCACCTCTTAGGAAAGCTTGAAAAGTCTTATTTAGTTGATTGGTGAAATTTTCTATTCATGTTATCTTGTTTGAATTGCTCCTTGGAAAACTCTTTTTCTGTGTCCTTAGCATCTCCCATGGCTTCATTTGAAAGGAGAGTTGTGCTTGCAGGTAGCAATAATAGCACCAAACATCCCTGCTATGTATGAAGCTCATTTTGGAGTACCAATGTCTGGAGCAGTGGTAAACTGTGTAAACATTCGTCTGAATGCAGCCACAATTGCATTTCTTTTAGGTCACTCAAAGTCCGAAGTTGTGATGGTGGATCAAGAGTTTTTCCCCTTGGCAGAGGAAGCTTTGAAAATCATGTCAGAGAAAAGCAAAGGCAATTTCAAGTATCCTCTCTTGATCGTCATAGCTGATGAAAGCTGTGATCCGAAGCAACTGCACTATGCATTGGGAAAAGGTGCCATTGAATATGAGAAGTTCCTGCAAAGTGGTGATCCTGAGTTTGATTGGAAACCTCCGGCTGATGAGTGGCAGAGCATTGCTTTGGGTTACACTTCTGGCACTACTGCTAGTCCCAAGGGGGTGGTGTTGCACCATCGAGGGGCGTATCTCATGGCTCTCAGCGGTGTTCTTATATGGGGGATGACTGAAGGTGCTATTTACTTGTGGACTCTCCCAATGTTCCATTGTAACGGTTGGTGTTACACTTGGTCACTTGCAGCTCTTTGTGGAACAAACATATGTCTCCGGCAGGTAAATAATTACCCGTTGTTTAT